TAAGTTTCCCACAAAAGAGGATATTTTCAGGAGGAAGTACGACATTATTCTTGTAATTACTAATGAACTCGAACGTGTGATCTTCATCATCTGATGATGAAGTAACACTACTCTTCGAGTCGTAATACTTTTCACTTACTTCAGAATCAATATCATCATCGTCATGAACGAGAATTAGATCAGAGAGCGAAAGAGTATCATCTAGATCTTCCTCTTCCAATATCCTTAAATCCTTCTTTCCCATATATCCTTTCATAATGGTAGCCTCAAACTAACAAGTATAGTATAAACTTTGTGTATATGATATTAGTCTCTAAAAGAGAGAAATGTATATAGGAGAGTGTTTGGATGTTGAAGTTATAGCCAATATGCTTATATATAAGATTGGAAGTTCAAACTAATTTGGCTTCTAGATGACCATAAAAGAACAATGAGAGGCTTGACTAATTTAAAAAAAGAGAGTCATCTTCTAGAATACAAGGCAAAGGAAGGAGTATTAGCGAATACGGAGAGAAATTTCTTATAACTTTGTCATTTTAAAATTACTTTGACAAACTTCAAAACATGACTAATAATAAATATTAATGGTCGATTTGGTCATAGACCGGCTGTCCTTCTAGAATATATATATAAGTGGGGAAGAGAGTCTTTTTCTAGGTAACAATACTATAAGCCAAAATGGATTTTTTTTTAAAAATTAACTTGGGAAACTTTTAGTCTTCTTCTAGATATCAGTAACATAAGTCAAAATTGGATTATTGTTTAAAAATGGGATTAGCTGTTGAAGAAATTTCACCAAGAGGAAAAATAGTTATGTACTCCCTCCATTTCATATAATTGAATTTTTGAGGCATTTTTTATTTTTCAAATTAACTTAATTGTTCAGTTTTCAGGACTACTTTTAGAGTGTTCTTCCAATTTTATCCTTTATTTGAATTTTCAAAGTGATGACTTCAATAAATTTGACAATAATTAATAAAGGTAAAAATAAAAAACTATGTTCAATTTATGTCTTAATCTACTTTTCTTAAAGGGTGTGAAACACCTCAAAAATTCAATTAATATGGAATGGAGGAAGTATTTATTATTAATAAAACGGAGAAGAGTCTAAAATATCCCTAAAGTATTGGAATTGGTACATATATATTCTTCATTTACCTTTTCGCCACAAAATGCCCTTGGGTTAACCTTTGTGGCCCTATTATACCCTTTTCACAAAAAGAATAATTAGTCCATTTAATTAACATTTTCATTTAATACGTGGCATTATTTGATTCGTTGTAAATTAAGTCAATCCAAACCCGGATCCACCCAAAAAAAAAAAAAACACCCCAATCCATCTTCTAAAACTCAATTATTCTAAAAGGGAAAAACCCAAATTATTTTCTTCAAGCTGCTGAAACTCAATTATTGAGATGCATTATAAATCTGGCCAAGGCATTTCCAACAATCCAACATACTCATAGCATCCCCTAGAGCATGACTTTGTCTCCATTATTTTGGATGATATTTTTCTTTATTCCCCCTTTTCTCCCCTTTTATTTATCATATATCATATACTTTAAGGGTATTTTAGACCCTTCTTCGTTTCCTATTTAATATATTGTCCCATTATTTTGGATGATATTTTCTTTATTCCCCTTTTCTCCCCTTTTATTTATTATATTTTATCTTTCTCTCTCTCTCTCTCTCTCTCTATATATATATATATATATATATATATATATATAATACTAAAAGTGGGAAGCCACAAAGTTAAAAGTTGAAATACCATTTTACCCCTACACCAAATTAAAATATTATAAAATATATACTTAATTGAATAAAAAAATAATAATCATTTATTATAAAGTAAATTCCTCCTATTAAATATAATAATTTGTATGTTTTAATGTTAGCCTACTACTTAATTGAAATAATTTTTATTTTTATCTTCTTTATAAATTTTATCTTATTCTATTTACTAATGGTTGCCTTTTCACTTTTCAACTTATCTCCCTATATTATATATTATTATTATTATTATAAATTTTAAAAGTGTGGAGATATTAAGTCAAAACTTAAAAAATAAAAATAATCATAAGAAAGTATTACAGTTATTCTAAATGAAAATCAACTAAGTTTTTTCCACTTCTCTTAGTTAATTTAAATAACTTAATATAGTAGTATTTAACCTCATAAAAACGTGTATCTTTTGGAATTCAAATCAAGTTCACTTAAGTAATTAGTATGTCATGCCTCGGAAAAGTCAAAGAATTGTATTTGAAGTATTTAAATTAAATAGATACATGTAAGTGTTTCATCTTCCAAATTAATTTATGTTCTTAATTAATATTTGTCTTTAATTTGTTGTAACACTTGACCTTTCAACTTTGTAAGTGAATCTTCATATTTTCAAAGCTATATTTTTTCCTACAAAACAAATCTTTCAATAGTATTTTCATAGAAAGATTCATATGTGATACAATATTTGTGTGTGGGAGACTACAGAAGCTTTGATCAAGTGAACAAAATTTCAAGACAAGAGGATTTATGGCAAAATTATAAGGCATAATGTGATTATAGGGATGAATAACACTGCAATTACTAGAATATCGAAGCTTGATGTATTTATTTTTTTAACTTATATCGTTGAATATCACTTCCGTTAACTTGTCTTCCAAGATTTTTAACTCTTTTTTTATGGTCAAAGGTTGAATATTTATTACTATAGCTTTGTTTTAATTTGGTTTATCAATAATTTAATTTTATCATAAGATTTCGTTTTTCTATCTCCCCCTCCCCCTCTCTGCACCAAATACTGCAAAATAAAGAATTTTTTTAGAAAACTTATAACAATAAAGTAAAGAGTATAATTGAATTCCTCATATGTTTATCACTTAGCAAAACCTGATAAATTTTCCCCAAAAATTATACATTTTTGGTGTACACGTGTGAAGCACGTGACCCTAAACTAGTATATATATATATATATATACTGTAAATACTAAATAGTAGTACTACTTTAATTAATATATAAGGAAACACTATGTCATACTTGTTTATGGAGTATGATTTGCTCGTTTGATAAGATTGTATAAAAATTTAAGAAATTTTGATAGTTTTCACAATTTGTCGATTTCTTCATGTTTATTTACGATATTATATAAAAGGTGTTTATATACACATCTATATAGCTATGCAAATCAATACAATATTATACAAACTGGGATCATGTTTGTCTATATTATACATATAAGAAATATTTATATTGTCCTGCACATAATTGTAGTACCTACATTTGATGCTCGAATACAACAACAATAATTACGTCTCAGTCTAGAATAAATTGGGATCGTCTCAATCTAGAATAAATTGAAATCGACAATATGAATCCTCACTAACACCTCGAACCAGATAGTATGTCTTCCACCAACAATTTGCTACAACATAATATCTGTCCTAGCAGGCAACAAACAAAAGAAGTTAACAAGCACACAAAACAATAAAGATTCATATAGCCGACATCAACTTATGGTGAAAAGAAAATGACAACAACAATGTATGTATATAAAAAACAATGATAATTTGAATAACACTTGTTTCCAAGGATGGACATTGAGTGAAAGTTACGGATTCATCTAAAACTTGTAACTTTGGATTGAACATTGTATATATATATATATATAGGGAAAAGGGGCAAATATACCCCCGAACTATCATAAATGGTATGTCAATACCCTCCGTTATACTTTAAGGTTGTATATGCCCTTACCGTCATTCTTTTGGGTTGTATATATCCTTGAATCTAACGGATGGACACGTGGCATCATCTAAATGATTTACCTGATTTTATTTATTTATTTATCCAAAAAAATTGAAAACCCCCCCATTTTCTATACTTTACCCACCCATGGCCCAAATTAAAATATCATGACATTTAAAACTAAAAATAAAAAAACATAGCTTTTCATCTTCATTAAAAATCAAATAAAAGGAGAAGTGTTCTTCAATTCATTTTCCAAATCTCACAAACAAAAACCTAGAAGCATATTATTTCAATCAAAATCAAGAAATCAATTTCATTTTTTTTTTGGTTCAAATCAATTTATTATTTGTTGAAAGGGGTTGAGAAAATACTACCACCATTGATGGACAAAGCTTCAAGCTTTAAAGTGGGTCTACATTCAAATCGAAAATTTCAAGCTCAAATCGATTTGTTATTGTTAAAAAGGTTTGAGAAAATACAATCATCATTGATGGACAAAGCTTCAAGCTTTAAAGTGGGTCTACAATCAAATCAAAAATTTCAAGCTCAAATTGATTTGTTATTATTGAATGTGTTGAAAATATTTTTGAAATAGATGATGTATAAAACACCCAATAACCTAGATTCCTACTGTGCTAAATGCTAAATGAAGATGAATTTAAATTTTTTTTGTTTAGCAAGCATAAAGCTACATATTTAAAAAATTTGAAAGACACAAGATTCACATAACTTGCAGGGTTGTTAGTGAAAGTGAAGAAAATAGTAGTTTTAGTGAACAAGTCATCTTCTTCCTTGAAAGATGAGTTCTTGATTCCATGGTTATGGTGGGTTGAGAAGAATAAAGGGATGATTTTTGATAAAAATGAAGAGTGGATTTTAGCACCACCCATTTTGGTTGTGGGTCGGGTGGATTTTTAATTTTTGGGTAAAAAATAAATAAAATTGGGTAAATCATTTAGATGATGCCACGTGTCCATCCGTTAGATTCAAGGATATATACAACCCAAAAGAATGACGGTAAGGGCATATACAACCTTAAAGTATAACGGAGGGTATTGACATACCATTTATGATAGTTCGAGGCTATATTTGTCCTTTTCCCATATATATATATATATAAAATAAAAACTTAACTAAAGAGAACAAATAGTAATTGATTCCGAACCCAGTAAATCAAATGAGTTGGGGTAGAATTCCAAACTCGAATACTAGTTCAAATTCTGAATCTGCCCCTTGGGCCTAATAGAGTTTCTCATTTATCAAAGGAATTCCATAGCACACCAAGATCAACATTTCCTCCGGAGAGAACAATTCCAATATGATTGCATTCACTATAGACTGGATTTTTTTGGAAACCATCAGAAAGAACAGCTGCAAGGCCTATAGCTCCACTTGGTTTCACTGCAATCTTCAGAACTTCATAGCAAAGTTTCATAGCTTGTATTATCTCCTTATCATCAACAACTATGATGTCATCCACGAGATCGCGGACAATAGGCCTGTTTAATGGTGAAGGTAAATGCCAGAAGTCCAAGAAAGGTTTGATTTTGACTATGAAAAAGCTGTAAAATAGGCAGACAGTAGTTTATAGTAGAAGAAGCTCGACTTTACCACGTGAGATCTCCAAGAAAAGCTCGAAGGCCATCAGCAATAGTGTTGACTTCAGATAACTTAGTAATCCTACCATTACTCTTTGATTGGAAAGCATCATTTGCTCCCATTGGTTCGGCAGCCAAAATGCGAATGGCAGGGTTGATGGCCTTGGCAGCCAATGCAACTCCCGATATCATACCACCTCCTTCATTCCGAATAAAAAAATGAGGCTAATTTACAAATTAAAATTTCAAGAAAAACAATATATCAAAGTCTTAAAATTGTTGATTTACCGCTGATTGGGACTATTAAAGTGTCAATTTCCGAAGCCTGTTCCAGAAACTCCAGAGATATTGTACCCTGCCCACTGTAAAGACCACATAAAGACATATTAATGAAGAAATATTCATTAGTAGAGATCATTCTGTCTAGATTCATAGCGAAAAAAGTGAGACTTGTGTTACCTTATAATGCGCCAATCATTAGAGGAAGGAATAAGAACAGCACCGGTATCTTGCAACACCTTGTTTGCAGTATCTTCCCGGGACTGCATTGATGGCTCACTGAAGATAACATGACCACCGTAACGTTTGACATTTGCGACTTTGCATTTTGGAGCATCTTTTGGTATAACTATATATGCAGGGATACCCCGTAGTTTTGCAGCCAAAGAAAGAGCTGCAGCATGATTTCCACTAAATTCGATGGGAAGTAGATTAGGGGATAATCCAAAAAAACTAAATAAAGATAGTTTTATTACAGAAACCAGAAAGCTCTGAACAAACCTGCTATGAGTTACAACTCCTTTAGTGGCCTGATTATCATCAAGTGAAAAAATAGCATTGCATGCCCCTCGGAATTTAAAAGCTCCCCTGATAAATTGCACGAACAAATGGCCCTTAATTAGAAGCGAAAATAGCAGAAACTTTAATTCACTACAACACACTTATATAGGAACTACTTTGAAAAAATCCCTGACGTTCTATGTTAAAGAGTTTCTCACCCCTTCTGAAAGCATTCACATTTGAAGTACAACTTTCTTCTAGCAATAGAATCTAAAGTGTCTGAGGTGAGCACAGGAGTTTGTTGCGCAAAGGGCTTGATGCGTACTTGAGCTTCCCTGATGGAAGAGATATCAGCAGCATAACTGTCACTAGATTTTGTGTGATTCGGTTCCATCAATAATTACTATGGAAGTTAACAATCGCAAAGCTGAAAACATGTGAAATTTTTTGAGTCAGTCCAGGGAAGATCAAAGAACAAAAATACCAAACAAGGTTGAATCTCTCAAGTTTATCCAGAGAAGATCTAAGACAAGAAATATATAATCAGTTGACTTTGAGAACAGACACACGAATAATACGCTTCCAAGAAAAATAATATCATATAACATGACAAATTGCCTGAGTATGGTCTTAAAGAGAAAGGAAATTGTTTTGATCTCAAGGATCAACCAAGGGAAATTATGGATCATGGACTCGTTACCCATAAGCCACGGAGTCTAAATCTATAATCAAGTTTCAATCTTAATGTCAAATGATGGGTTAAATCTCAATTTCCCTAAATTTCAAACTTGAGGCCAAATCTCAATATTCTACACCTCAAATCATAAATCTAAAGCTGAAAGCATATCTCATTACCACATTCCATCAAAATATTCAATTTTAATATATCACTATATATATATATATATTAACATTCTTGTTCCAAAGTAAAACATCTTAACTGTATACGAATCATTATAGAATTTTTAAATCGTCATCATTTCTTACTAGACAAAACATTTTCAAAAGAACCAAGAAAGCAGTTACATGGAAAATGGATGTGACCATCATCACAGATGTGTTGATTCTCTTATCACATCTGCTCCATTTGGACTCTACATTATATCGTTATCAAATTCTAGCATATCCTTATCAACAATTTTTTTTTTTAAAAAAGCAACCAATAAAGCTATGAACTAAGTAAATTTTAACCCGAAGCTTATCGGCTCAAATAAAGTTCCAGCTGCTTCCTTCGAGCAAAATGTTTTTTTTTCAAAAGAACCAAGAGCTCTCTTACCCTAATATATCTCATATACTTATATGTTGATAAGAAAAAATGGGTCTAGCCCCCTTCTTCACTCATAAATTAGTTACCTAACTAAGCAAATATAGCTACTATATCAAAAATACATAGTTATAGTTTTAAAATATTACCAAATGTGGCGTCAGTTACAATTTTATAGCAAATTCACTAGCTTGTTTCCTTTCCCCTTTTTAAGGATTAATGGGTCTAGCCCACTTCTTCACTCATAAATTAGTTACTTAACTAAGCAAATATAGCTACTATATCTAAAAATACATAGTTCTAGTTTTAAAAATATTACCAAATGTGGCGTCAGTTACCATTTTATAGCAAATTCACTAGTTTATTTCCTTTGCCTTTTTGAAGGCTTAATACACTGTATGTATCTATCGGTTAACTCTCTTACCAAATCCCACTTTCCATAATTTGCTCCTAATTCTCTATCTCGCGATTTTGCTTCTTCCTCAATTCGTGGCACCGTGATTTTTCCAGTTAAGTAACGATTTTGCATAAATATGTTGGTTATGTGTATCTAATAGTTTTTTCTACTGATTCTCAGACTTTAAGCTGCTAATTTGAATTATTTTAGTGGGCCTCTCAAGTTTTTTTATGTGTATCAATGGCGGAAGCTTCTACTCCTAAGAGGCTTACTCGAGGTATTACCCTCTAACCAACATTCTTATCAAGATTGTCCATACTTTGATTTGTGCATTTTCACTCAAGAAGATAACAATGCAGGGATTGTTGCTGCTTTAGAAGCCGAGAGGAGAATCAAGTTCCGCAATGACCCCATAAAAATGCGGTCATTGGATAAACAACAAAAAAATCAGAGAAATTGAAAGTTGTTGCAGCAGATGCAAGTATCAATAATAAGAAAGGAAAGAGGTTGTTTAAGATACATGTATCGAAAAGTAGAAAAAAGAAATTTCGACCCATGCTATCAAGGAAACAAGTGTAGGGTAGGAGAGCTCTTGGTTAGGTAACTTATCCCTTTCGAGGTACACACAAATTTCTAGATACTACCCAAATATGATCCTGAGAGGGTTTGATTGAATTTTTTTCTTCTTGATTGTATACATTTATTATTATATTTTGCCACAATATGTATGAGATAATAAACATTGTATTTTGCTATGTATGATAAAAATATCAATAATAATACATGTATCAGATATATTACTATATCCGGAATAATGACAGTGGAATTTAAGTATCATTTATTCAAAAATGACAAAGAAAAACAGTGTTACCTTATAAAGTGCCCATCATTAAAGGAAGGAATAAGAACAGCACCGGTATCTTGCAACACCTTGTTTGCAGTATCCTCTCGGGACTGCATCAATGTCTCACTCGAGATAACCTGACCACCGAAACATTTGACATTCTCGACTTTACTGAATCAACTCAAAAATCCATTTGGGTCCATGAGAAACAGACTCAACTTCAGATAGTTTTTACACCCATTACAGCAAAAAAAAAATACTAAAATCAAGAACCAGTATTAGTGGATAGTAGACACTGAAAATAGAAAGAGAAATAAGAGGGAAAGAATGAACCTTAATGGCTGGAAAGAACTTACGGTCCCTGAGCAGAAAGATACCCCAATACTCAGTAGCTAAAACCACAGAAATTGACTCAACACTGGATCGAACTTTCATACCAAGTGTAATCCCACAAGTGGTCTGGGATGGTAGAGTATACGCATACGCAGACCTTACCCATACCTCGTGGAGGTAGCGAGTTTGTTTCCGAAAGACCATCGGCTCAAGAGCATCAAAGCAAGCAGTTATAAAAAAGAAAATAAGACAGTAGCGGGAAAATGACAACTAAGAAGGAAAGCAGTACAGAGCATTCATAACAAAAGAACACTAAAAAAAACAAATAATGTGAAACATAAATCAAAGAACAAGAATTTGCAAGAATACATGAATCAGGGGAGAGATTGAATACAGGGTTTCTCATTTGTTAACGGAATTCCAAAGCACACCAAGATCAACATTGCCTCCAGAAATTACAATGCCAATATTATTGCATTCACTATAGGCTGGATTTGTTTTAAAACTATTGGAAAGAACGGCTGCAAGGCCAATAGCTCCACTTGGTTCCACTGCAATCTTTAGAAGTTCATAGCAGTCTCATAGCTTGTATTATCTCTTCATCATCAACAACTATGACATCATCCACGAGATCGTGGACGATAGGCCTGTTTGACAGTAAAGGTAAATGCCAGATACCATTTATCAAATTGGCTTGTAAGAAAAAGCAAAGTTATCAAGAGTGTGTTAGAAAAAGCAAAGTTATCAAATTGGCTTGTTAGAAATCCGCGTAGAAGTGAAAGAAAAGGAGCTAGGGGGTAGAAGGGCTTGGGAAAAAGGGACCAAGAGGCTTCTTCAGTGCAGGGGTAAATACACTAAAAGTGAGAACCAAAAAATTCTGTTGCTTGGACCCTCCAAAGATGTTGCCTCGCTCGGGTCGGATCCTCAAAATGCATACCTGACAATATTTTTGAAGAATCCAAGCAACATAGTTTAAAAAAATTAGTACGATCTCTAAAATATAAAGTCATGCCGATCTTGCCGCCAACAAACCTTTGATTTTGATTGCCAAAAGCTCCAAAATAGGCACAGTAATTTAGAGTAGGAGAAGATCTAAGACCTTACCATGTGAGGTCTCCAAGAAAGGCTCGAAGCCCATCGGCAATAGTGTTGACCTCAGATAACTTAGTGATCCTGCCATTGATCTTCGACTGGAAAGCATCATCCGCTCCCATTCGTTCGACAGAAAAAATGTGAATGGCAGGATTAATGGCTTTGGCAGCCAACGCAACTCCCGATATCAGACCGCCACTTTCATTCCATACCAGTAATTGAGGCTGGTCTACAAATTAAATTTTGAAGAAAATGATATATCAAAGTCTTTAAAAAGTTGATTTACCACTAATTGGGACTATTAAGGTGTCAATTTCGGAAGCCTGTTCCAGAAGCTCCAGTGATATTGTACCCTGCCCACTGTAAAGACCGCAAAAAAACATATTAGATGGAGAAATATTCATCAGCACAGATCATACTGTCTAGATTCCTAGCAAAAAGGTTCAATTTTTTGGAAAAAGTAGTATTTTGGAATATCAAAAACTACTATTCCATACAGTTCAATTAGAAGTTCAAGGTTGCCTTGGAATAGTTCGTAATGTGCAAATGTCGAGAAAGATGAAATCATCATACAGAAGGATCATTAACACATAAAGTGAGATGTAGGGCTCAGTTTGTCTTGGGCAGGAGATAGAATTTTAACAAAACACGTGCATCCGAATACTTTTAAGGCCTCTTTGGGGGCATTCAGGCCCCTCTCAATCTATTTTGTAGTTGAGAAGGGGAAAGTACCAAGTATCATCTATTCAAAAATAACAAAGAAAACCAATGTTACCTTATAATGCGCCGATCATTATAGGGATGAATAAGAACAGCACCAGTATCTTGCAACACCTTGTTTGCAGTATCCTATCAGGACTGCATCAATGGCTCACTCCAGATAACCTGACCACCGTAACATTTGACATTCTCGACTTTGCATTTTGGAGCATTTTTTGGTATAACAATATAAGCAGGGATGCCCGGTAGCTTTGCAGCCAAAGCAAGAGCTGCAACATGATTTCCACTAAATTTAACGGGAAGTAGATCAGGAGGTAATCCAGAAAAATAAATATAGATAGTAAACCACATAAACAAGAAAGATCTGAACGAACCAGCTATGAGTTACAACTCCTTTAGCAGCATGATCATCATCAAGTGAATAAATAGCATTGCATGCCCCTCGGAATTTAAAAGCTCCCCTGATAAATTGCACAAACAATGGCCCTTAATTAGAACCCTTAGAAGCGAAAAATAGCAGAAACTCTAGTTCACTACAACACACTTATACAGGCTACTTTGAAAGAAATCCTTCCACTCTATGTTAAAGAGCTTCTCACCCCTTCTGAAAGCATTCACATTTAAAGTACAACTTTCTTCCAGCAATAGAGTCTAAAGTTTCTGAGGTGAGGACAGGAGTTTTGTGCGCAAAGGGCCCGATGCGTACTTGAGCTTGCCTGATGGAAGAGATATCAGCAGCATAATCATTGCTAGATGTTGGGTGGTTAGGTTCCATCAATAATTACTATGGAAGTCAACACTCCTGAAACTGAAAACATGTGGAATCTCTCAAATCTATCCAATGAAGAACTAAGACGAGAAATATATAATCAGTTGACACAAGAAGAATACACTTCCATACAAACAATAATGTCATATAACATAAAAAATTTTGTGAACTTGGCAATGAGGAATCAAACGTAATACACATATTTTCCTGCGAAACAAAGGGCATTCTGTGTCCCAAAGGACTTCAATGTACTGCACTCAGACTTATCAGTTTTTTACCCCCATCACCCACAATTTGAACGAACTGTCTTCGGCTCGAATTAGTTATATTAATCAATCAATCAACTAGGCCTAAACCCTCAACTAGTTGGTATCTGCTATAAATACTAGAGTTTACACCAAGGATTTGAACCTATGACCTAAAACAATTTTTTAACCCCCTTTACCACTTGTCACAAATGTCTATTTGTGACTTAGTTTATTTAAGTTTTCAATAAATTGTTTTAGTCCCTCGAGTTTTAATTAGTTACACTTAGTAATTTCTTTTCAGTCCTAAATTCTGTTTTGGAAGTAGACAGGTGTCGTCTTATGATTGTATCTGTCAAATACTTATATCCGTAGTACTATCAATGAGAAAGGTAGAAAATTATCAAAATATCTTATCTTCCTCTACTCTCTTCTTCCTTTCTCTATTCTCTTATTCCATTTTCAACAGTCTAGTAACAAGGGTCCTCCTCTTGTTACAAATGGTATCAGAGCAGCAGGTTCCTCTGCTGCCGTCGATGGCTTCTTCACCGGAATTTCAAAGCCTACAAGACGACGTAAGAGCAGTTCGAGACCAGCTCTCTGTTTTTGTAGGAGATGCGAACAAACGATTTGAAACTATGGAATCAACTCAGGGACAATTCCAGAGCCAGCTTTCTGAGATGCAGGAGACTAACAAGAAATTAGAGCTCATTATTTCGAGTTTGGAGCTACCAGCAAAAACCCCTTCTCCGAGGTCGACTCCAAATACAACACCGGAAGGAACTTTGCACCGATGGGAAGCCGGTCAGACCTCAAACACGAAATCCCCGATGGTAAGGTCCCAGACCGAATTTACTTCATCTACGTTTGAAGTGGGTCGTGGATTCACTTTTCCACCTGCCCCAATCTTCTCAAGCCCACCAATATTTAGGAACCCAGCTCATTCCACAACTTACCCATTACTACCCACACCCGTTGTTCATATCCCTGAACCTACCAACAATCAAAGAACCCTGAAACCAAAGATAAATTTCCCAGAGTTTGAAGGAGAAAACCCAAGGAGCTGGTTGAGGAAATGTGAGAAGTTCTTCGAATTGTATAACATACCTGAGCAGGATAAACTCAGTTATGCTTCAGTACATTTAGGGGAAAGGGTAGATATATGGTTTGATAGTTGTGTGATGAACCATAGGGGAAGAATGACTTGGCAGAGGTTCTGCACTGAAGTCTGTAGGAGATTTGGCAACATTAGACCTCAAGACATCATTGATGAGTTTAATAAACTCATGCAAGTTGGAACTGTGGATCAATACCAGGATAAATTTGAGGAACTTGCAAGTTATATGACCATCATTAATCCCTTGTGAATGAGACTCATTATGTCGGAAGCTTCATCAGTGGTCTTAGATCTGAGCTTAAGCCTCTAGTAAAGCTTGCAAATCCTTCGACAGTGTTGGATGCCTATGAAGTGGCCAAACTGTATGAAGAATCCTTCAAGGCTCTCATTCCCTTTGTGTCGACCAAACCTCCTCAAACCACTACTACACGACCTTTAGCCATTACATACCCTCGAAATCCACAAGTTACAAACAGTAAACCTAATGTTACTCCTCAGCAACCTCTGAAGATTACTTATCCTAATCAGAAGTCGTTGCAAACTCGAGCTCCATTCAAACCAAATACCCTACCACCGAATTTGGAAGCATTGAGAGAACAGGGTCTGTGCTACATGCTACAGGTGTAAGGAAAGGTATTTTCCCGGACATCAATGCAAACAGAGGGGTTTACATGCTATAGAAGGGGTAGAGGCGGAACCTGAAGGAGAACAACCAGAGGAATTTGTGGATGTACCTGAGACCCTGGAAGAAGAAGTGGAGGAACAAGCTGAGGTTTCTCTAAATGCTTTGTTGGGGCTGAGTACCACAAGTGGCAGAATCTCTACCATTAAAATTATAGGCTATGCTGGAAAATTACCTATGACAATCCTCATTGACAGTGGATCCACTCATTCTTTTATTGATCCTCACATTATCAAACTGTTGAGGTTGCCAGTTCAACCAATGCAACGACCTATAAGAGTGACAGTTGCAAA